GTAGCAAAATATCTGTAATATAAAGGAAGTTTTACAAAAATTAGGAGTTCATATAAGTGATATGCCAGTATTCTGTGTAAAATTGGCAATATTTCTATAGAACACTTATCTGGCCAACCAAGAAAACCTAAAAAACGCCACTAATTGAAAATTTTTGTAAAACAGTCATTTCACTACAGCTGGTGAAATAAAATAAAATAGAAAAAAAATGATCACAAACTTAAGGTCAGTAAGCGTATCGTATGTGATGAGCTTGTGAAACTTGTTTATATTTCTGTTTTTACAAGAAAAATGATCATAATAAACCTCTCAAGATATTCAGCATGACTTAAATAATCATCTTTCAGGGCAGATTCTTCTTAAACTTTTGTATAACCTAGACCTGAATCCTATTGAGAATGTATAGGCTGTTTTAAAAAGAACTGTTTAGAAAAAGGTTAAGAATTTAGTGGCAAAAGATAAATAAATCTCTCAATAAATTTTTCTTACCATAATCTGATAACAATGGGATGATCTTGATAATGGTGTGTTACTTCAATGTATTAAAAGTATGCTAAACCAAGTTTAAGCATGCATCAACGCAGAAAGAAATCATACAAAATATTAATTATATAATAAAAAATGTTGAGTTAGTATTACTCTATAAATAATAAAAAAAACAATTGTAATTAATAATAAAAATTTTACATACCTTCAAAAAATGTGTCTGCTATTCTTTTCGCTAGAAACTATACATGATAAAAGAAGTATTATAAATAAGAGCAAATTAAATGTTTTTAAGTAAAAAAAATATGTGGTAAAGGTATGATTAACAAATTAATGATGTTGAATAATAAAGAATTTGAAGGTTGATAACTAAAATATAAGGTAAAATATACTAAATAAGTAATTTTAAAAATTTCTATAAGAAACTGTTTCAGTTAATTCTTGAAAATATAAGATCATTTTTATATAATATCAATTTGAAAAATTCTATCTTTATTGATAATAAAAATACAAGAATCAATTTAAACATTTGAAGTAAAAAGGATATATTTAGAAAGTATACTTGAATAGTTAACTGATATCATTTTTATTAGTGAAATAAATAAAATATTGATAAATGAAATAATCAATATGTGAAATCTTATCTATTATTTGACTAAATAAAAAAGTATTAATAATCTGATTTTAAACTTTTTCTTTTAATTATTAAAGAAAAGCATAATAGCTAAAGATTTATATGTGATAAAAGAAAAACTAATCTAAATTCAGGTTTAAAATTCTATAAACAAGATCATTTAATACTAAATTTTCTAAACTAGTTAAGAACTTAGAAGTATCAAAAGTAATAATACTATGATTAAAATCTCTATAAAAGAAATCAAGTTTAGTAAGAAGCTAATAATCTGAAAATGAAATTAATTGATCTCATGATTTATTTTAATTATTTATGACATAATTCATTATCTTTAACAGTAACTTTTATAACTTTTTTTAATTTTCGTATAAATTCTATAATTGTAATTGTTAAATCTATTGCTAAACCATCTCTATAAAAATCTTTATTTTGAAATAACAAACTAGCTTCAGATATTTTTTTTAATATTTTTAAATTATTTTTGTCTAGATTTAATGCCTGTCTTTTCTCAGTTTCAATAACATTATTATTTGTTAATTTTACAAGATTTTTTTAAATTTAGTAATTTCTATTATAAAAAAATGTTTCGTCTAAAAATTTCTATCTAGTACAATTTAGTATAATAAGATTTTTCTATATGATAAAATCTGTATCATACTAAAGATTTGTGAAATTTGTTTTATCAAAATTCATTATAGAAAGAGTTGACTGAATTGAGAGAAGTTTGTTTCCATGTTTTCTGTGAAAATTTTTTGATTTTTGTTTGTTTGTTTGTTGTTGGTTAATAAAGTTTATTTGTTTATTTGTGAAGAAGAAGTAGCAACTTGTTCTTCAGTTGATTTTTGTTTGATTTCTTTGTTTTTATTAATAGTTTGATGGGTTGAAGGCTTGTTTTTGTTTGCTGACATAATTATGGTCGAGGTGATCGGCGGAAAGAGTAGTTATTAAATTATAAAAATCATGTGATATGACATAATTTCAACCATTTCGACCATTTTTTCTGCCTAAAGTCGAAACCATTTTGACCATTTTTGACCATTTCGGCCATATAATCGCAACACACGTTACTTTTATTATGAAGTACAAAAAATGATATAATACAACTTGATATATATACATACTCGATTACTCCACTTAATAAAGGTAAGTAAAATGATACTCATCAATAAATTTCACTACAATAATATTTATGTATAATTTGACATAGTTAATGAATCGAAGTTACGCTTTTTGCTTTTTTTTGGTTTTTATATAAAAATATGTTTTTTGATAGTCTCATAAAACCTTTAAGCAATTATCCTCTGATACGTTCGAATTTGAATTTGGTACGTGCTCACAAAATTTTATAGATAATCCTTGTTGATATACGTTTCGTCTATTGATAATCTTATATTCGTAAGTCATTGCATAATCAGTCACATGATGTAAAAATTTAAATAAATATTAAAAAAAAAAAAAAAAAAAAACTATTCAAAGGGAAAAATAAAAAAAAATGGAATTTCTTCTTGGAATGACAGGAAAAGATTTTACGCTTACTATATCAGATACAGCAGCAACAAGATCTATCATTGTTTTTAAGAATGATGAAGACAAGTCTCTAGAACTTAATAAACATGTATTGATGTTGTATTCAGGTAGTCCAGGGGATACCTTACATTTTGCCGAATATATTCAAAGAAATGTTAAACTTTATGAGATTAAAAATGGAATTGAGTTGACACCTAAGGCAACGGCTACTTTTACTAGAAGAGAAATGGCTACCAGTTTGAGAAGTCGAGTAAGTGACCTTTAAAATCAATTAATGAACTTTCAATTAAGGCAGAATAATTTATTAATTTTCATTGTAGAAACCTTATAACGTCAACCTCCTTATTGCGGGATATGATGTAACAACGTCTTTACCACACCTTTACTGGATCGATCATCTTGGTACCAATGCTACCATGCCATATGCTGCTCATGGATACGGTGCTTTTTACACTTTGGGTATCTTGGATAAATATCATCGTCCAGATATTTCCCTGGATGAAGCTAAAGCAATCGCTAAAAAGTGTATAGAAGAATTAAAGACTAGATTTTTCATTAATCTTTCCGGTTTTAAGGTTAAAGTTAGTGATAAGGATGGAATTCGTGAAATCGAAATTTAAATAAAGATTGTGATACGGAAAAAGCAAAAAACACTTTGTTGTAATTCAAATAATTTTGTCTGTTACAAATATATCATCATACAATTTAATATAAGGTCTATAAAATATTACTTTGAATCAAAATAAATTTGATTTCAAAGTATTATTTACCTTAAGAAATTTTATTAAAAAGTAAGGGAAAAATAACCTTAGATTACTTTAATAGCTCAAAATAAAATATTTCATGCTATGTACAAATTAAAATTATTTTGTTATGTATATATTTAAGATATAAGTCTTTTCGAAATCAATTCAGCACGATCGAAAGCATTCAAATTTTTATGTGCTACTATTTGATAACAAGTAGCACTTCCCTGACGTGAAATTATAGTTGACCATGCTAAGAAAATTTCCCAAATTCTATAATAATAGTTAGGAAAAAAAAAAAAAATTTATTTATCATTAAATCTTTTTTTTTTTAAAAAATAAAAATAAAAATGAAGAAAAAAATAATTTACTTACCGATACCATCTAATTAAAAAAAAAAAAAGTAATTTTTTTTTTAAAAAAATATTAATATAGTCCAAAAGATTGGATAAAATTATGAAATTATTTACCTCTTTCCATATTTTTCGGTAATTGTGTCCTTATTTTTAAGCCAATTTTGGTACCAGCGCCAAATTGTACCTGAATAATGTACACCAATTGTATCAACGCTATAAATTTCAAATCCTGAAACTTCCAATTTATCAATCACCCATCCTAAAGGGCAAGAAGCATCAGCACCAGGAAAAATATATTTGGCCATAAACAATCCCCATATGAAATCTTCATACTGCCATGTGCTATAAATAAAAGAATAAAGGTCTTAGTGATTTCTAAATAAATCCGAAAAAAAGAAAAAAAAAATGGTTTCATTACTTACCGCCGTAATCCAGCAATTTGCAAGAAGAATAAACCATCGTCTTCAAGCATATCTCTAACTTGTTCTAGAAAGGTTGTGAAAAGTTTAACACCAACGTGTTCGGCCATTTCAAGGCAAGTAATCTTGTGATACCTCGGGCGTTTAGGTATATCACGGTAATCCATACAAACTATACGAGCCTGTTGTTCGTTGACACCGTATTCTTTAATTCGATTGTTACCAAATTCTGTTTGGTTACGACCAAGAGTAATACCAGTAGAATTTACACCATAATTTTTGGCGGCATACGCTACAAGTGTTCCCCATCCACATCCAATATCCAAATGTCGTTCACCTGCTTTCATACGCATCCTTTCACAAACAAGTTTTAATTTATTATCTTGAATTTCTTCAAGTGTCTCACGTTTATTATTATCTGAAATAATACCAGATGTGTAAATCATTCTGGGCCCTAAAAATGCTGCATAGAAATCATCACCACGATCATAATGATCTCTAACTTGGTCTTCGTCTTGTTTTTTAGAATGTACCAAAGTTTCAGGTATCCATTGAGTCAAAAAATATTTCAATTGACCCATGGTAAATTCAAATGAAGCCCAATCATGACGAGCTTCAAAAATTTCAAGAGCATCGCCACAAAGATCAATTTTTCCATCAAAATAACTCTCAAAAAAGATCTCCATTGGAATCTTATTACGACCAGAATAGGCAGCTAATGATGAATCTTTTATACTAATATATTCTTCAAGTCTTTTGCCCGGAAGTTGAACCTTGTTATTAAACGGGGAGTCATACTTGGAAGATCGAAGAAAATAACCAGCGAAAATAATCAAGCCAAGTGGGAGTAATAGAAAAGGGTAAACCCATAGACTCAATCGATAGAAGATAATAAGGAAGAGTGGAACTCCTAAAATTACACCAAGAAGATTATAAAATCTAAAAGTTTGGTTACCGGCACCCTCAGCAGGATATAATGGATTTTTTATAGCATCCCAGTTTTTGATTTTTAAATTACTAGTTTCTACCGTCATCTGTTTGGAGAATAAATCAAAACTTTGTATAAATGAGAAAGATATTTTACATCAAATATGGATGAATTAATAACATACCTTAATTATTTATTAAATAATATAGAATTAAATAAAAAAATAAAATAAAAAAAAAAAAAAGGAAGTTCGTTCATCTTTGGACTTTATGAATAGAGGCTTTGTTTCATCAGCCATAATCTTGTGTTTCCTGATTTTCGCAATAGGAAAAATCCGAAAAAAAAAAAAAAAAAAAAATTTTTTTTGATTATCAGATCGATCGACATAAATGTTTGATCAATGATCTGATGATCATTAAATATGTGTAACGAAATTTGAATATTTTAGATAAAATGTGTTATCGCACGTGCGATGCATCGCATATGGGCAAAATTATGTAATGCCGGCCAAAATTAATACATGTGACATTTAACGCGGACGTGAAGAATATATCTTTTACAATAAAAAATTTCCAAGTTTCTAGAATATATATGAAAAATGAAAAAGGGAGTATATGACAAAAGAAAGGCGATGATCACACACATGTGAAATAAATTATTTCTTATAAAATTATATTTTATTTGTTATTTAAATCAATACAAATACTATAATAATAATTAAAATATATAATATCTAATACATATAAATTTTTAAATTTTTAAATTAAAATTAAAAATTATAAGTAATAATTATTTCACAAAAATCTATGAATATCAATAATTTTTATAGCACAGTTATGAAAAAATTATGATATTCATAGAAATTTTCATAAAATAACTTTTTTATCTCATTAAAGACTAATGTTCATAATTAAAAAAAAAGTTTATTTGACTATTATTTACTAATAAAAATATATAAAAGTTTATTTTGTTATTATATAATCATAAATTTTTTTAATTCTTTATTTTAAACTTTTTTTTTCTTTATCCAAATTTTGTAAAATAACATATTAATAAAAAATAATAAAAATACTTTAAACCTGTTTTTACTAATGCAAATGCTTTTGAAATTTCAGTTTTACTTTATCTTAAGATGAAACTGATACTTCAAATTTACCAACTTCTAAAATTCAAGAAAAACTTAATTTTATCAAAATAAAATTGTAGTTAAAAATAGTGTTATAACTAATTACAACCATATAATTCTTATTTGTCATCAATTGCAACTAATTGCAACTCAATTTTTGTTAATATTATAATTAATTGCAACTATATGATACTTATTTATCACCAGTTATAACTAATTATAATACTATCTTTAGTTGTAATTTAAAATACTAAAAATTAATATAAAATTGAATTGTACAAATTGAAAATTTTTATAAAAAATATAATTATATTATATTATTTAAAAATAATATAGATTTAAAATTAATGAAATAACAAGTTTGTGAATATATTATACAAAATATCAAAAAATAAAAATTTTTGATGAATATAAAGTAAAGATAATAAAATAAGCAGTTGATGCTATTAAATATCATTTATTAAAAATTTTACTAATTAATTTACATAATAAATATAATTTTTTAGATTTATAGACTATATTAAATGGAAAAATAAAATATCTAAAAAAAAAAAGAATTGATAAAAAAGAAGGATCTATAGTATTAATAATACAATAAGTTTAAAAAATTTTAGCTAATAAGTTCCTTAATCCAAATACTCTTGAAGGTCTTTTATACTGTGTATTTTTTTAAAAACAACTAATTTTGTATATTAAAGTGAAAAATATTATAATCTTTATATTGATCAATTTTTATTTTAATCTAATAATAGATTGATTTTTATCAATATTATAGCAAAAAATAAATAATATAAAATAAAAGTGATTTTGCATAATATATTAATCTTCCTTTAGATTCAAAAATAATTACTGATATTAATAAATATTTTTTAAAATGTTCTAATAATGTTTCTGAAAAATTTTATTTACAAGTTAATTTACTTTAATATGAAAATAGTATTTAGTATAAAAATAACAAAAACTCTTTCCATCGATCACTAAAACCAAAAAATGACTAGAAAGAAAACCACTTGTAATAACAACTCCAAACCTTACCAAGCTCGCTCTTCTCCTATGGAGAATGACCAACAACAACAACGCCCAGCTAAGAAACAGCATATTGAATCACCAAAACAAATAGAAACTTCAAATGCCTCTAGAAGTAACTCCAACAGCCCTATAGATATGAAAGTTAAAACTTTGCTTCCCAAAACTTTAGACAAGAAAAAAGGTCCTGAAACTTCTAACAATAATGCCAACATTTTCCTTGACGAGGACCAAACCTTTAATGCTTCTGAAAATAGCCTCAACAATAAATAAAATGATAAAAACAAAATCCACTTAGAGTGCAAAACTGAAGCCCCAATCTACTTTGCTTACTGCATCGCAGATAAGTTTTACCTCAGAAAATCCAATAGAGACAAACAAAATGAAGCATGTGATTTATTTGCATCACACTATTCGTCCTTCATTGGTGTTTCAATTCGTATTCACTCTGAGAACTCAACAAAGAAAATTATCTGAATTGGTTTTACCTCACATGCTGAAGCAAACAATGCAATTACACTTAAACTTTTATGTTTGAAAAATAATACATTTTTACCCCTCACAATCAAACCAATAGCTAAGTACATCCCTGAGTTGTCAATCCATTTCACTGAGATCCTAATCTCTACTACTGAATCAAATATTAGATCGACCTTTTCCTTTTTTGAAAAGATTTTCTGTTGCGTCATGTTCACTAAAAACCTTTGGCAGCAAGCTACCCTCACATTTGAACAAGACACAGATATGACTACCCTGAACAAACTTAACAGCTATTTTGTCCTTAAAGACTTAATCAGGGTCTACCCATGTACTATGTCAGTCGAAGATATTAGGAAAAAATCAGAATTTTCTTTGAAATTAACTAACCTCTCACTTGATACAAATGGGCGCCATTTAATCTCTATCAGTAATGCTATTGAAGCGATTGCCTGGGTCATCCCCAAGTTACGTTTTAATTACAGAAATTTACAATACACCATCTTTTATTTTAAAACTAAAAAATCTATGGAAGCAGCAAAAATGAAGAAACGTATTTCCTTGATAGGAAACAATTGATCTGGACTGATCCTAATGCAAAATTTTGCTTCACCTATCAAGTTCTAGGTCACCAATCGCAGAATTGTCATAAAAATTGTTCAGCTTCACAAGATTGACAAACTCAACACTTATACCAACGCTACTAACCTGCACAGTTTCGAAATTACAAGGCACCTGTCGTTGTGTCCAAACTACCATCCCACCCTAATAAACAGCAGACTACAAATAAACATAAACTGAGCCAACAACAAAATAATGCTAAAGATATACTTAAATCCAGCAATGTTATTGTTTCGCTCAATCGTCAAACAAACTTGCCTCAAACCAAATCACCAAAAGAAGTTTGATACCAACAACGTACCACCCCTATCTGCCTCATCAATGATAAAGGAGAACAAACCTTAGATGCTAATATATATGCATTGCATCGCTGGGCTGATGAAACTTTAGACGAATTCTGTTTGCCAAATGTTACCTTAAACTAACTACCCTAACCAGAATTGCTTACTCAGATTTTCAATCAACTGATCGCTATCTCTGAGCAGCTCGCTAAAATGGAGTCAGATCTTCACTTGACTGTGAATTGAGTTGCTACGGTTGAAAAAGTCCTTAATATTAATGTCCTACTTCCTCACCAAGCAGATTTACTTAACAAATCTTTCAACGAAGATGGTATGAAAACTGAGAAACATACATATGTAGCTGGTCTCTATACAAAAGACAATATTGTTGCTAAACAATCTGCTGAACTAATTACCTTGAGAGATGAAAATACCCTCCTCAAAACCAACCTTGAAAATAATATGATTAAACTCAATAATGCAGGATGTACCATCACTAACATGCAAAGAATCTTACAAACACAACTTTAAATCAATCTAGACACCTTTACTGCTATTGAAGAAGTCGCTCCCCCTTCTAGTTATGAAAAAACAGTTGACAGTGTTTTTATCCCCTCACTCCCAAATATTTTTAATGATTGATAATTCACAGAATTATAAACGGGTTGGCCCCAGTGACCTGATAGCAAACAACAAAATAATAAATACTAACAATACCCATAATTAATTTTCGACTAACTCAACATTGCGATACATAATGTTCGCTCTTTCGTTCAACCACAAAAACAACAATTCCTACTCAATACTTACAAAATTAATCACTTAGATATAATAGACCTCCAAGAGATAAACTTTAAATCAACCAATAATACTTTAGCCTTCTCGAAATCAATATCGTCTCAATATTCGCATTTCTTCAACTTCGATCAAAAGTCATAAAATTCAGGTTTCGGAGTTAGCCTTCTTGTCAAAAAAATATTGCTGATCACATTTACAAATATGACAGTCAACACGGACGTTATATTTTCATCAATTTTCAATTTCGCAATAAATTCCGCATTAGATTAATTAATTGCTACATATCAAGTTCGAATACAGCCCTTCGAGAACAAACATATAAAGAAATATGTAACGTTATTAAATCAGCGATAGACTTCAACATGGAAATCATTTTACTAGGAGACCTAAATGCGATCCCAGACTGTTCTAATAATATGTCAAAAGCTAATCATTTCTTCACTCAACTTGAAGACTTCCAACTTTTTAACTCTTTTGATCTTCTACATGATAATGCTAATCAACTATTCCCATCTTTCTTTCACGTTGCACATCATCAACCTTCAAGAATCAACCATATTTACACTTCTTTACATATTGCTGCAGGCCTTAACAAAACCTAAACTATCAACGTCGATCCCAACATTTCTGACCATTCGATAGTTTCTATCAATATAAATATAACTGAACTTACCACTTCAAATAATGATAAAAAATGTATCAAAAAGAAGATTTACCTTTATGATGACATGGATGAAAAATCTTGGACACAATTTGATAAAAAAATGGATGGTTTTC